CCCCCCCCCCCCAAAAAAAAAAGAGGTACCGGGGTGTGGAGGGGGCGGGGGTTAAAGTCAACGCCGCCATTATCATCACCGACTGGTGGGCAGTTTTGCAGAGGAGCGGGGCCAACGCCCACCCCGCCCGCGCGCGCGCTCGGGTCCCCTTGGCGAGGGTGAGCCGGTCGCCTGACGGACTGACCCCGTTTACTATGAGGTGTCCCCGGGGAAGCGGGGCCAAGGGGAAGTAGTGTGAGGGGGCGCCGGCCGGTGCCACTCTGTCCCCCCGGGCCGGGACCAAACACCCAAGACCCCGATGCCATCCCTCCCGGCTGTGTGGCCTCGCCCCCTCCCACCAGGGCTCACAGGGCGGCCCACGCCTCGGCCCAGGCCCATCAGTCATACGCAGTGGGTATCGTGTCAAACTAGGGGGGTTTTCCCCGCCCCTCTTCCTGTCGATGCTGTCGCGGCGCGCCGCGGCCCCAGCCCACGCCCCCGTCCCCGCCCGCCCCCCCGCCCGCGCCCCCGCCCATGGCCCCCTGCACATGCACACCCCGATGGCAGCTTGGGTTAACCCCCCGTCATGGGGCCCGCGGTCCCGCGGTCCCACCCTGTCCGGGTGATTTGTAGCCAGGGCCGCTTGATGCGCTGAGAGAGAGTGGGGTGCGCGGGGGCAGAAGAATGCAGAAGGCCGTAGGGGTGTAGGGTGAGGGAATCCGGGCGGCGGCCGTCTCTGAACCGTCGTGTGTGTGACCCGTTTGCAGAGGGCCGGCGCCTGGCCAACAGCTGCGCCTGCAAGTTCATCGAGACCTCGTCGGGCCTGGACCACAACGTGGACGAGCTGCTGGTGGGGCTGCTGGCGCAGGTGCAGCTCAACCCGCGGCGGGAGGCGCTCAGCCGGCGGCGCAAGAAGCGGGGGCCGCCGCCGGCACCCGCCAGCGCGTCCACGGGCAAGCGGCTCCTGCGGCACCTGCTCGGCATCAAGCGGAAGGCGAGGTCCTGCGAGAACCTCTTCGTCCTGTGACCCGAGCTCGGCACTTGAGAGAGCTAAATTCCATTCTTGTTTTGCATTGGGGGGG